TAATTAAATAAGATAGAATTAAAATTTTATTTTGAAAAAATAATTTATTAATATTTATTTAAGATATAAATCTTTTTATATCAACTCATATTAATAAATATTTTTTATTTTTAGCTTAAAAAATAATAAAATTTTATATATTTTTTTATTAAAAACTTATATATAAAGATAATTAATTATGAATTAATAAAAATTAATTATTTTTATATAGAATATAAACAAGTTTTTGATAAAAAATCTGAAAAAAATATATGTTAAATTAGAAAATTTTAACTATTTTTAAGCTAAAAATAAAACTATTTGGTAACAAAATTAAAAAATTTTATATATAAGAAAAATATATATTTTATTAATTATAATTATTAAAAAATTCAGTATTATATTAATTATAATTGTTATAGTAAATAAAAATAAAAATTAAATATATCTAAAATATATTTATATTTAAAATTATTAAGTTTAATTTATTATAACTTAATTTAAAAGAATTAAATTTTTTAAATTATTATAAAAAAATAATATTTAATATATTATTATTAATTATATAAAACTAATAATAATTTTAATATATTAAAACAGTATTAAATATTAATTAATTTTAATTTTAAATAAGAAAAATTAAATTCTTTATATTAATATCATAAATTTCTAAAATAAATTGCGATTTTTTATAAAATTAAAAAAAGAAAAACTTTATTTTCAAAGTTAATTTATTAAGTTTATATTTTTTAAGAAAAATAATTTATTTAAATAATATATTTTGAATGATGGTAAAAATATTTGTGTAGTTAACGTTACCCAAAGCATGTCAAAAACATGACCTAAAATTAGAAACACTTCATAAATTTGGCCAACATTAAAGTTTAAACCATAATTAAACTCTAAGTTACCAGCATTAAAGAAATTAAGCCATAATTCAGGCTTAAGATGTGGCTCTATTAATTAAAATCTTCCGAAAAATTCGAAAATTTTGAAAATTCACAGAAATTTGGAGGTCCTGTTTCTACATCCCGGTTCACTCTTTTATTGACAAATGGAGAAATATATGTTACCTAGTAGCCAAGAAATTGAAGAAGAGCAAATGATCGCACCAGATTTACAAATCGTTCAACAAAGAATTGCTGATGTCCTGAGAGTTCTGAATAATTTTAAAGAATTAGGGGATCAGAACAGGTAATATTTAATACGGTCAGTCTAGTTTATTTTTATTCACTTTGCATTTGATTAATTGGTTAATTGATTTATGTCCATTTCGAATAAAAAGAGGGCGAGCAGAATATGTGGATCAGCTCATTCAAGACATTGCAACTTATTATGGATACTCGGAATTCTTGGCCGAAAAGCTGTTTCATCTGTTTCCAGTGTCCGAGGTATTATCATTTTTATTATACTACTGCATCCATTGAATTTTCTATCACATTATTTAATGTAACAAAAAAATAAAGGCATTAGACTTTTTTGAAGCAAATGAAGTTCCGCGACCTGTCACCATTCGGACAAACACTTTACGCACACGAAGAAGAGATTTGGCGCAAGTTAATTAAATTGTAGTTTTTAAAAGATGTTTCTGTGGTATGCATTAAAAATCTAAGTTTCATGTAGAAATTAATTGATCGAGGAGTCAATTTGGAACCAATTGGAAAATGGTCCAAAGTTGGATTAACAGTTTTCTCATCCGATAAACCTCTTGGTGAGTCTATTTACTACGAATGATAAAAAAAGGTATTAAATACAATTCGAATTCAATTATTAATAAATACGATCGTGGACTTTTCTATAAATAGGAGCAACACCTGAATATCTAACAGGTGACTACATGCTACAATCTGCCGCCTCATTCTTACCAGTGATGGCCTTAGCACCACAAGAAAATGAAAAAATCCTAGATATGGCAGCCGCACCAGGAGGAAAAACGACATATATTGCTGCATTAATGAAAAATACAGGCCAGATATTTTCCAATGATGCCAATAAAGAACGGACGAAAGCACTCGTTGCAAATATACATCGAATGGGTGTTAAGAACACGGTTGTGTCGAATTACGATGGTCGTGAATTTCCTAAAGTGATGGGTGCATTTGATCGGGTGTTATTGGATGCGCCATGTAGTGGAACTGGCATTATATCTAAAGATGCTTCAGTTAAGATTAATAAGGTAAATTAATTTTATTTCTTCTCCCCTTGTATCTTTTGAAATATTTTTTAATTAATCGCCTTTCTAGACGGATAAAGATTTCATGCAACTTTCCCATCTGCAAAAACAATTGATATTATCTGCCATTGACTCGGTTGACGCTAAGTCATCAACCGGTGGTTATATTGTATATTCTACATGTTCAGTAACCGTTGATGAAAATGAAGCAGTCGTTAATTATGCGCTAAAGAGACGGCCTAATGTTAAATTAGTCCCCACAGGAATCGATTTCGGAGTTGAAGGATTCACAAAGTAAGTATTATTTACTTACAATGTTTACTTATGCTTAACCCTTTAATGTTTCCTCGAATAAACATATATTTGATTAGTTTTATTATATAACAAATAAACATTTTTGCGATTAGATTTCGAGGTAAAATCTTTCACCCTTCAATCAACCTAACAAAACGATTTTATCCCCACGTGCATAATATGGATGGATTTTTTGTCGCGAAGTTCAAAAAATTTTCAAACACCATCCCGAATTCAGAAATGAAAGAAGACAAGGGGGAGAAGCAAGATGAAAAATCCAAAGACAGTAGTAATATTTGTAATGATAATGCGAATAATAAGAGAAAACAAAATTCTAACAAGAGCAGTAGCAAGAACAAAAACAACAACGACGACGATCATGAAATGATCCAAAAAAATAATAAGAAACAAAAACTTGTATCTGACAAGTCCACTAAGAAGTCTAAAGATGTACGGCAGCCTCAAAAAGTATCGCCCAATTTAAAATAATAATAATAAATTTTCGATTTATTTTATTTTAAAAAATTTATTCATAAATATAATATAATATTTAATATTTAATTAATATTTTGTTGGTCCCCCGTTCGAGTCCAATACCGCATTAATTCTCCTCGGATTGAATGAACAATTCCTCTACATGATTGCATCAAATTTTTCCCACCTCTTCTTTAAGTTCAATCAGAATTTCTGAGTTTTCAATAGCAAAAGATATTCTGTTAATTGATGCAATATATAAGAAAAACAGGACTTTAATGTCTTTAATTATTATTTATGATATTGATCCAGTAGTCTTTGCACTTATTTAATCTATGATATTTATTATTTGAATAATGTAATAATTAAGTCAAGTATTAACTAAATGAGTAATATTCAGATTATAACTTTTATAATTAATCAAGAATTGCTTTTATAAAGCAATCTTTTCAATATTTCTTATGCAAAATATTAATTATATATTTGATATATTTTAAAATTACTTTTAAACAAGCTTAAGAAAAAATATTAAAATAAATAAATTTATTTAAACTTGTTTATTAATTATTTTTGATTAATTAAGAATTTTTTTAATAATTTAATTTTTAATTTATATTTTAATTTTGATTTAGATTTAAAAATTATTTTTATTTAATATAAATCTTAATATAAAGTATATAAAGTCAAGTTAATATATTAACAAGTTAAAAAATTATTTTAAATACTTTTTAAAAAATATTATAAGTATTTTAATATTTTAGTTATAATAAAAATAATTAAATAATAATAATAATAATTTAATAAAAATATAAAAATTTTATATAATAAATAGAAATATAATAAATTTTTAAAAAATTTAACAAAATAAATCTAATATAAGAATATAAAAAGATAAAAAATATAAAAAAATATTAAAAGATAATATTATATATATGATGCTGATCATTTTAACTTGCCAATCACATGATTTTGTTTTAATTTCTCAGATGCAATGTAATATAGCATAATATATAATACAATCAATAATATTACATATATTATTTAATCACGTAATAATAATGATTAGTATAAACATCATTATAATGGGATTACTATATTTATTTGCATTATTATTATTTATTCTTATCATTGATGCAGGAGCTATTAATTATCTATTTAATGATTTATTTCGTTCGCTTCATTACCCCTGACTTTATTCATTTCAATTAGTTATTCAATATTCTTTAGAATTTGATAATGTGATTTATACTTATTAATGGTCCATTCAGCAGCCTGACCCTTCAACTCTTTGTCATATGCATCCATGTATCTTCACAACTTGTGGACAAACTTGTGAATAATGATTATAGATACATTATTAAGAACTTGTGAAAGCTAGTTTACTAAGTCTGCATAGCTATAGCTACATAGTTTTTGAGTTTTTCACTTCACAAAACTTCAATATCACTCTATGAAGTTGCACTTACAATGGAATTTCGGGTATCACTCAAAGATATATCCTACTTCAATAACTGCTTCCTCTAACAATAATCATTATTCAAGAAAATCAGACTGTGATAATGATATGATTCTTTATGCATAATAATCTAACTTATCAGTATATTTTTCAGAGTACTTCTCACACATTAAGTGAATCTTCTTCATAGGCCAAAGATTCTACTTCACAAGTACTTGTTTGATGTCTTTTGGTCTTCTTCTCAACTGTTCTATAGAATAATTATTAGGAAAAATCATTAATTATACGTGCTTCTCTCCAGATTCATTGATATACTAGCCATTACATATTTTAGGCTGCACTCTCTCTGAACTCAAGTTCATTCTTCTTATGATTAGTGCATTCTCAGCTATAGCATTGTGGTTTATTGATTGATCAAAGCAAAAAACTCTGATATACCCAAGATGTAATATCTCAAATATCAGAATTGCTTTATGCATAAGTTGATCTAATATATACTCTGATTTCCAATACCTATCTATTTGAACAGAATGAAGAACAAAAGCTTCCTTATCTTCAATGTGTGAATTTTCATATAGTTGTTGATCAGATAGCCATAACAATTCATGATATGGACAAAGGAAAGCTGAAACTATAATGAAGCATCCTATATATTTCAGACAAAGAGCATTCTCTTCTTCTTGAATCCAGATTCTCTATTACTTATCATTCGTGTAAAAATGGTATTCATCATGCATTACTTGAATAAATTCTCTTTCTCCTAGTTCAAGTTGGAGTTCTAATGTAATGTCAAACATATCACTATCAAAGTCTTTCATATTTTTCTTATATACAAATATTTTTTTTAATCATTTCTTTCTGTATATCACCACATCTAACTGCTCATGTCTGTTAAAATAAATGTCTTTTCTTCTCTTATTATACTTATATTCTTACAAATGCATATATCTTCTACATATTATCTCAGAAATAGTATCTTTTTTAATATGGCCAGTCTATTTTGAAAATAAGATCTCTTCAATATATACCTTCAAGTTACTAAAGAAACGTGTTTCAGATTTTTATTATCATAGCCATGCTTTACAATCTTCAGCAAAATCTTTGTTATTCATCAAGCTCTCAAATTTCATATGCTTTTCTTGATGATACACAAGAAGTTCACCAGTCTTTACAAAATGATTTCTCCATCTTCGAATATATTTAGCTACATAGTTTCTTTTATTCTATGTAATTTATGCAATTTGACTACTAGCATCAATTTTACCTTCATCATCTAATAATAACTATAAAAATTGACATATACTTAGAAGGTGTAAATAGTCATATGTAGAATTATCATGGTTAGCCTTTGTAGATTTTCCTATTGAGCATTTTTGATTTAGTTCTTTCAAATAGGCTCGTAGATTTTGTGACAAAAAAAATGTAGTTTTTGAAGAGAGTTATAGTAATAAGAATGTTAATGTTAATACAGTTGATGCACTTGTCAATATCAATATGCTAATATCTTTGAAAACTGACCAGAAAAATGAATTGATTTTTTTTATTCTCTTTACATGCTCCTTTAATTTTTTCTCTTCACTTTTTTATCTCCACATTATTATTCTTGAAGTTTTGGTATATACTGGTCTTAGATGACTTGTAGCTGTTTCATATTATTTAAGTGCTTCATTAATAAACCTTTTTTTCACTTCTTCAAACTCAACCAATTCTTTTTTGACCTATTCTTCTGTTTAGATAATTTCTTTTTTAGCCTATTCTTTCGTTTGGATAATTTCTTTATCTGGTATCTCTATTGAAAATTCAGTGGCCGTTACTGATAATAATTCAGAGATAATTTGCTGTACTTCTTGGTGACAATACCAGTCTTTTTTTCTAGGCAAATTGCAGACTTGCTTCTGTCACTTTGTATTGGATACCATCAGTAGTTTCTTATTTAGACACTAAGACTTTCTTCTTGTATAGTGAAATACTATTAAAATATAAGTAAAATAATTAAATAAAAATTTTCTTCTTGAATCACGCTATTAAAATATATTTCTAAGAGTTTTGTATCATACTTTAATGGTCTTGTATTACATTTATTAGCAATATGAGTATAATAAAATATGACATGAGAGCTAGCAGACTATGATCACAAGTGCTAGATTATAATGACTAATTAAAAAATTGATCAATAAAATTATTTTCACATGATAAAAAATCACATGATATATTTTAATTTTGACCAAAATATATAAAAAGTATCTGTTTTTAAATGCTTATAATTTTTTTTATAAAACTTTTTTTAAAATTCTGACCAGTAGTTTGATAGCTTTTATCTCAAAGAATAATGTTACTGGTTTATTTTTTTTTATATTATTTTTCTATAGAGTACTAATAGATTTTAAAGTTATATAATTTTATTGGCCAGTTAAGATGATCAGCACCATAGTTTTTAAATTTATAATTTTATTATTTAATATTAAATATTTAATAATTATTATACAAAATTTTTTATTATAATTAAATTTTTAATTAATTAATATTATAATATGAAATTAATAATTAAATTATATAATATAAAATTTAAAATAATTATTTATTTATATTAAATAATTATTAAAAAAATAATTACAGTAATGATCAAAAGTAATGACTTAGAGACTAAATTTATTAGTGAAAATTAAAATTTTTTCTCTATATTAAAATTTATAATTTTATTAAGAAATAATTTTTATTTTTATATTAAAATAA